CAGCAGCTGTGCACAGCAGGGATATCTGGGCAGGGACCTGATGAGGTCCAGAGCCTTGCGAGGCCCTGCGTGGGGGGCATGTTGGGGGGTGGCAGGCTGGAAACCCTCCTACAGGGGGTGTCTGAGAACTCCCCCCAAGGTCACAGGACATCTGGGATATGAGGACAGGATCCTGGGGATGGCAAGCTGGAGCTGGGGGGGGCTGTGATATCTACAAGGCAGCCTTGGAGGCTGGCGAGGTCTTGGGGACGTGAAGCAGGAGGGGGGATGGCAAGAGGTCCCCATGCTGCCTGGCGCCAGGGAAGAATGGGCCATTTTTTTCAGAGAAGAGATGAGGCAGGGCCAGGCCAGCTGGAGATCCCACAGCACCGCCAAGAGAAGGATTCTGGTGTGCTGTTCAGGCTGCCTGGCCACAGGCTGGCTCCTGGGAATTGCAGGAGGGCCACAGGCTGCAAGGAGACCTGGTGTGTCCTGCCCTTCCTCTGTCCACTGCCCGAGGGGACAGTGCCAAGCACCTCCACCCAGCAGCCCTGCCTGCCCTGCGGGGTGGTGGGCAGCCTCTGCGCCCCCTCTGCTCCTCCTACAGCCCGGCATCCCACACGGCATATCCCACCCCCTGCAGCCTGGCATTTCATGCAGCAGCCAGTGCAGCAGTGTCCTTCACAGCATGTCCCATCCCCTGCAGCCTGGTGTCCCAAGCCAAGCATCCCATGCCATGCATGCCAAACTGTGCACCCACGCTATGCACCCCACACAGCATGTTGCCCCCTGCGGCTGGCTGACCCAGCACTGGGGCACAGCCAGCTCTGCAGCCCCCCACATCTGTGGCAGTGGAGTGCTGCCCGCCTGCCTGCCTGCCTGCCTGGCTCCCATTGAGCTGCTATACATAGGGTGAGGCGCTGAATGGAGCAAGCTCAGCCTTATCAACTCAGCGTGTCATCAGAGGGTATTTTTGGGGACAGCAGCTGCAGGCATTAGTAACGTTTGGTCCCTGCACACTGACACCCGGGAGCAGAGCTGGGTGAAGCAGCAGGAGCTGGGTGCCGGCACTGGGAGACACGGGGGAAAGGTGGCAGAAAGAGGTGTGTATGTGGGGCAGAACACCGGGCTGTGGGGACTGCATGGGGCAGGGCAGCTGGGGAAGGGGGTGGCTGAAGGTGGCAGTGGGGTGGCAAAGCCATCAGGGCTGGGTGTCTGCAGGAGCTGCCATGGGGTGGCCCGTGGGGCAGAAGAGCATGTGGCCCTAGATGGATGCACTGTCCTGGGGGTAGGGGTCTGGGAGGAGAAGCTGGCCCTGGTCCCTGCCACTCTCTGGTGACCAGACCTCTCCCACTGTCCCCTCTGGTTCATTCAGGGAGCATTTTCATTTCTCTCCCCTCTGCCCAACAGAGGTGGTGATGCCTCTGCCCCAGCCCCCAGCTATGGGGCAGACAGAGGCTGGGGTGCACTCACCCAGGGGAGGCACGGAGCACCCTGCCCCGCTCCTGTCCCAGATGGCGGGCATGGTCAGTTGCCCGCAGCACTGGGGGTGGAGGGAGTGCCCTCCAAAAGCGGGACCCATTTCCCCAGCCTTCCCTCTGCCCCTTGGGGCTGATTATTTCCAGCCGCCGTGGCTTTTGATACCCAAGGGCTGGATCCTGCTTGTGGGACCACACTCTGGAGTGGGGACCTGCTCCCAAAGGATACCCGCTTTGCCCCAGGGCACTGCCCTAGAGGGTGACACCAGGTGCAGGAGGGTCCCCTGCCTCTCCAAGCCCGAGAAGGAGCAGCCGGAGCCGGCCGGGTGCCCCCCGCCCTTGACACCCCCCATCAGCACCTGCCCGCTGAGGCGGCCCAGATGCTGCAGGAATGTGGCTCTGCCACCACACGATACTCC